ACGGCATCGCCAATTCTTTTGGCGGGAAAACGGCTAACTTAGGAACTGGGAGAGCAGAGAAGCTGAAATTTTGGGAGGGCACCCCCGGCCTATTTACGACTTTAATTTGTCGTATTTAGCCTCAAGTCCCAATTGGTTCTCGTACGGCCGCGTGAAATTTTTTGGCAGGGAAATAGCTAATTCCGCAAGTAGCAAGGCTGGGAAGCTGAAACTCAGGGAATATCCCAGCCCACGTGCAACTCCAATCATATTCAGACTCCAGTCGTACGTGCTTCTCACGTACGGCACCGCGAAATGTTTTGGCGGGAAAATGGCTAACTCGCGAACTGGAAGTGCTGGTATGCTGAAATTTCAGAGAGTGCTGTCAGCCTATTTTGTGACTTTAATTTATCAGATTTAGCCTCCAGTTCTTCCTGGTTCTCAAGTACGGCCCCGTGGAATTTTTTGGCAGGGAAATAGCTAATTCCGGAAGTAGAAAAGCTGGGAGGCTAAAATTTTCAGGGAATATCCCCAGTCCATGTGCAACTCAAATTATCATATTCAGCCCCAGTCGTTGTTCTGTCACGTGTTACGTCATTGACGGACCTTTTCATCATTGACTGTTTTGTAGTGCCAAAAATAACCTCACCCTAACGATCCTCTGCAACTGGAGCTGCGGCTCCAAGACCAATGCTTTTGATGCCGGCATTTAAATTTCTACACGAAGCACGTACCGTTGTGCAAATACTATGTCACAGCGTGCAGAGTTTCAGAAACACAGTAAGCAAATCGAGAACGATTCAGTATTCAGAAGCGATATGAGGATTCGAGGACGAGGATGCTTCGACGAGGACGCGAACCTACGGGGATGCTTCTTGGCGCACAGTTCTACAAATTTGCGCCTTTGTCTCACGTGAAATTGAAATTACAAAATCGATGGTACTTTTTCAACTCCGGAACGAGGCGAGCCTGGTTGCTGGAGTGCTATGATAGGGCTCTTCGACAATACACCGATTCTCAGACTTATGAGATAGTTTCAACTCAAACCAGGCAAGAAAGGGAACAAGAATTTTCTAAATTCGGTTCCTACGTCAGTTGTAAAATTGCGCAGAATTACACACTCATACTAGTTACTTGGTGCACAGAGGTGCTTTTTGCAATGGAGCTGGCGTCCCTCATTGCTTAGCGATCTTTCCTTCGCGTTTATTTCTAGCTTTATTTTCTATGGCAACCCAAGGACGAAAAAAGTCCAACTTATTTCCTCTGCGTCCTTTTTTGACAAACGACTTTTACTCGACTTGTTATTTTGGCTTATTCCTAGTACTTCAGTCCTTACTATTATTTCGAATCTAAATTCCGACTCTCAAAAAGTTTTCTGCTAGCTCATTTTTAAAAAAACCTAGTGCCACTGCAGGTCAACTATGATTGCTGTTTTTAATTTCAATATTTCTTGGTGATAACATTTTGCCAGTCAACAACCAAGGTTCCTTCCTTTTTCCCAAAAGAAACACTTAGAAACAGACGTCTCGAGTTATCATCGGTGTACTACTGTCTCGTTTCGACTGCTGCTACTTTTAGACAACGGTAAGGCCTTTCACCAGCTGGAAGTGGTGCATAACCATTTGGCTCCATGGGCGAGTGAGTGTATGCTCTTGTCGGTGGTACTAATGAGGTTTAGCTGTGATGTTGAATAGGAACGTTAAAGACTTAATGGGCCGAAACATTCTTGTTCATTCAATTTTTATGCGTTTTTGCATATATGCAAGCGCAAAAACGCATATTGGCAAGAGGCTGTGTGTGTGTGTGTGTGTTGTCTGTGTGTTCGCACTTTTTATCACCCACTTTCAACTCGAGAACCAGAAAT